ATATATATATATATATATATATATATATATATATATATATACATATACATACACACATCTCTCTTTTTCTCTCCCTCTATATATATATAAACAGCGCCTTTTATATCGGTGAGTTTTTTTGATTGAATGACCGATATTTAACTTTATCACTAATATCGTCCGATACTGATGCCATGCCAATAATATTGTGCATCCCTAATAATTACCATGATTATATAACGTCTCCTAGTAAGAATTCCATTTAAGATATTAACAATGTTCATCTACTGGAGATAAAAAAAAAAAAATAACTTTTGGATTTTTGAAGCTGAAAGCAAAGACACATCCATAAGAGACAGTCCTAAAAAAGACTTACATTTGAGATCTCTGAAATGTGAATAAAATGAAGGTTCTCTTTGAAAGCTAAAATATTTTAAGAACTGAATCGGGGATATCTGCTTTGAAGAGCTTGTCTATTTATTATATGGTAAAATAGCTTGCTGTATCAGAGAAGCATGCAGCATTTCATCAGTAATTACAACACAGGCCGATCTGTAGCTCATTATGGCGTTAAAACCTCATCAGTAAACGCTCCTTTATGATCAAATGTTCAATCATGATGCATCACGAGTGAAGCTGACCCAGACAGCCGGCGTGACCTTCAGGAAACATTAAGGGAAAGTTCCCCGATGGCTCCCTAAATGTTATAAAGCCTTTAACTCTGATCTTCAGGGAACCCTAAAAGGGATCCTTTTTACATGACATGTACGCGACCTTCACCGTAAGCACATTTCAAGAGAACATTCACGAGGTCACACTGTGACAACTGCGGCTTTTAGAGACATTTAATAAATGCTACAGACTTGTTCTTGTGTGTAACTGTGCATGAAAAACAGTGTCTGGTGCCAGAGAAGTATAGTGCACAATAACTTAGGCAGTGAGTCAGTCCATTTATTATATTATAATAAACAGACTGACAAATGATATTACATACTATTTATTATATTGCAAATTATGACATATCATTTAATATTCATAAATTTGCCAATAAAAGTCCAAGTGAATAGTTGCAGTACAGCTCAGAGACCAAGCATCAGGACAGTGTGCAGTCAAAAAAAAAAAATGCAACCAGTGAAAAGATGGCACACCTTTACACTTACAATTTATCAGTGGTGGAGAACTGATCCACTTTATTAGATTGGTCTGAACTCTCGTAATGGCCTACTAAGAGACACTGTGCGATATAAACATTGCATTTCAACATCATAGGACACAAGGGGTTTCAAGTCTCAATTTCAGGAAAAAAAAAAATACAATGTCACAATTTTGTTTAGTGAAGAGCTGAGAAATTCTCTGATTTTTTTCTGCTTCATGTCAAATTCCTTTAGGATTCAAGTTTGTAAACGTTTTTTTTTTTTTTCTTGTTAAGTCTGTAAACACATAACATCCTGTCGGAGCAGGATAAACAAAACTGACAAAATATAAATCTGAGTGTGTGCTATGACGAAACTTGTGAATTGAAATTAAACAAAGGAACATCAAGCTTAGAGCAGAAAGAACCGGTCAACTGAGCAGTGTGAACGTTAGAAAATGGTGTTTTTGTTACGTAGCTTCGATGTTCAGAACTAATCTGCTGCTTTGTACGATTCTAAAAAGCTGTATGTTGACTGACACAACGAAAGCAGAGTAAATGATCAGGGCTTTGAATCACCAAGACAGCAAAGTACTAAAGATTTATGGTACCACGCACTTAAAACGGTAACTCTGATGCATGTGTCAACGCTAAAAATATAATGTACCAGCTGTAAGAAAAACAGGATTAAAACCATACAAGTATTTTTTTTTTTTTTTTTTTTTTTTGCGAGGTGGGGAAAGTAAAAGCACATCTTTGTATAGTCCTGGGCTGGAGGTTGAATAAGTTACACAGCAGGTAGGATGCTTTCTCTTGTCAAAAGCCACAAAAACAATCAAAAGTGCAACAATGGTGCAGACCATCCTTTAGGTTTGGTTAGATTCATCTTATTGTGTCATCGAGAGAAAAACATGGCAGAGTTCAGATTTATTTTGTCAGGATAGTAAACAAAAAGCAAGGGACTACAGATACAAACAACAACTTATATCTCTGAGAAAATGTGGTAAAGCTGCCTTCTCTCTCAAATCACAAGGCAAAAGTATTCCTCTAAAAAAAATATAAACTTGCTGACAGACTTATTCTGGACATTTTGGAAAGTGAAACTGCAGAGATGTGACACTAGTCTCTTAAATGAAAAAATAAAAATGTCATTGGCTCACTTTCAATATTCAGGCAGGGTCCAGAAGTAGTCATAAGGATAAAATTTTCTGGAAAGCTTATTTCAGACTTTTCACCTTTCTGCTATGACACCAGTGTTCTCAACTTGCTGCGATGACAGACGTGGTGAGAAGTTGTCTCCACCATCCGTTCATCGTCATCAGATATCGACGCTGTTCGAAATGTTACAGTTTTCATTTTGCCCTCTGACGTCCACAACTTTCAGGCTCTGGTGGTGCTTGGTGGATGACGGGCAGTGTGGCATAATTTACGATCCGCTAAGGGTCAAGTACAAACCACAGGTCCGGTCTCTCTAAGCATGGCATTAGTAAAAAAAAAAAAAAAAAAAAAAATCAAGAAAAAAATATTTGAGTGGGTAATTTTGTTTGGGGCTGCACTAAGAGCACCTGCGATATTAAAGATTACACCTCTGCTCTTCCCATTTAAAGATGATCAATTTAAAAGCAACAATAAGATAAGAAATAATCAAATTAAGAAAAACACTGCAAAAGGTTACTCTATTTACATACAATGATTCTCTTAAAGACAAAGTAATTCTTTACAGAAATCAGACATAAAATTCAGAAATAGCTTCTTATGTTTTGTTTGTTTTTACACATTAAGTTCTTCAGCTTGACTGTAGCTGATGTCATCCAATCAGATGACGTGAATTTCTCTGACAGGGAGTCTGAAGCGAAAGTGAAGTCTTGTTCTGGAGAGGCGTGCCTGTCATGTGCTGCTGCTCACAGTCAGGGGGCACTATAGCACCAAAAAAAAAAAAAAAAAAGCCACCACCCCATCCTCTTCTTACACTTGCCAAAGAGGTTAGTTGTGGGAGAGGGGCGTGGACTCAGTCTCAGCAGGGCCTCTCATCTGGTAACTGGTGGTTGTAGGCAGCAGAGCTCAGTCGTCGCTGTCGGACAGCGTCTCGTATTGTTCTGACAGCAGAGACTGCCACACACGCTGCTGGGCAACAGGAGCTCCAGTTGGGGGCAGCTGCTGCTGCTGCTGGCTCTGAAGAGACGGTGAGGCTACGGAGGTGGGCGGAGCAGTGCTCATCATGCGCATGGTCAGCGGGTTGTAGGGAAACTGCATGGGACCTGAGAAGACAGCAGGAAAACAAACATGATGATGACATTGTAGGCAGATTGTTTTGACATTTCCAGGCAGGTGATGAGCAGCTCACCTGTGGACGAGGGCCGGTCGTCCCAGCTCCACTGGGGTTGAGCTGGTCGGTGATAATCGCCCTCAGAGTGGACGGAGGACACTGATGAGGGACGCTCCCCTCCTGTATAGGCCTGTCCCAGGTTAGGGGACTTGGACTTCCGGCTGTTTGCTTTGCCCTGTTTTTGTTTTCCTGCAAATTCAAACAGGCATTTAGTGTAAATGTCTTGTTCTGATAGGCCGTCTAAATTTTCATAACTGTGGCAGACGCTGGGCTCTGTAAAATCATATTTAGTTTTTCTAATTTCTTTGTTCTTTCTCTAAAGTTCAATACATTTATATTGTTGTAACCACATTTATTCTTCTTAAGTGTTCGTTTATCACAAAATTTCAACAATTAAACTGAAAAACACCCCAAAACATATTCTAATTAAATTGTTTTTAACAAAAATACAATAAAACTATTTCACTTCAACAAAAAACGTAATGCTTTTTTTTTAAGTGTTTACAAATCTGTTTCTAACTCATTTATAAAATTTAAAAAAAAAAAAACATTAGAGTTTCTTTAAAAATAATGTACATCATCAGGGTTTTGCTGTACTATAGCGTTGATATTTAGTTTATTATAATTTCAGTAGACAGCTTTCAGCCTGAAGGAGACAGTTCGATCTAAAACAGTCATAGGTTTGTCTTTTATTAATCCAAAGGTCTTATTTTGCATTGTACAAAGTCTTTCATAAATAAATTCAAGTCTTGCTTCTGACATGTTTTCATGTACCGTATTTTTCATTGTATAAGTCACAGTTTTTGCCTAATTTGCATGCCCTGCGACTTATACAGTGAAGCGACATATTTATGGATTTGTTCCCATATTTTTAGACCAATTTTAGGCTGAGATATGACCGTTTCCATTCATTCTGACTGAAAAAAAAAAAAATGGAGAGCCCTCTAGGCTTTTGACGACTACCAGTAAACCTCCATCCATCCATCCATCCATCCATTATCTTTACCCGTTTGTTCCATTTTGGGTCACGGGGGTCGCTGGTGCCCATGTCCAGCAATCACTGTGCGAGGGGCGGGGTACACCCTGGACGGGTCGCAAGTCCATCGCAGGGCCACATAGAGACAAACGAGACAAACAACCATTCACTCTCTCACACACCTAGGGACAATTTAGAGTTACCAATCAGCCTAATATGCATGTTTTTGGTCTGTGGAAGGAAACCGGAGCACCTGGAGAAAACCCACGCATGCACGGAGAGAACATGCAAACTCCACCCAGAAAGGCCCCTGGACCGGGGTTTGAACCAGGGACCTGCTCACTGAGAGGCAGCAGCTCTACCAGTTGCGCCACCGTGCTGCCACCAGTAAACCTGTATCTGTTTATTCCAAACCCGCTAAAATCCCATCAGCCCGCACCAAAAACATCACATTGAGTAGGAGGAAAGAGAGGACAACAACAATAGAGAAAATGCTGCCAAAGAGAAAGAGAAATTCATATTCTGCTGAGTTCAAGCTTCAGGTGATAGTTTGCAGCTGAACATGGGAACTGTGCAGCAGATCGCAGGTTTGGGGTGAGCGAAAAGCTTGTTAAGAGACTGGAGGAAGGCGGAGGTCACCCTAACGGCCATGAAGTGGTCGACGAGGGCAAACCACGGGAGTAAGGCGAGGTGGCCAGCTCTGGAGGAAAAGGTGAAGACGTGAGTGCTGGAGGAACGAGCTTCTGGCAGAGGGCTGTCGACGGTGCAGCTACGTCTCCACGCCATGGCGGTTGCCAAGGAGCTGGACATCACAGAGTTTGCGGGTGGACCGTCGTGGTGTTTCAGGTTCATGCGCCGGAACCGTCTCTCCATCAGAGCGCGGACCTCCATGTGCCAAAAGCTGCCGGCTGATTTTATGGAAAAAGTGGAGTGTTTCCGCGAATTGTGGACAGGCAGGTGCAGGAGCACAGATCTCGCCTGACCACATTTTTAATATGGATGAAGTTCCATTAACTTTTGATATTCCAATGGGACTGAGTGTGGCGCAGAAAGGGGAAAACAGCGTGACCATCCTCACCACAGGTCACGAAAAGTCCTACTTCACTGTGGTGCTGGCATGCTGCGCGGATGGATCAAAGCTGCCGCCCATGGTGATTTTTAAGCGTAAAACCATGCCAAAGGAGGAGTTTCCCCTGTGCGTGGTTGTGACGGTTAATGAGAAGGGGTGGATGGACACAGACATGATGAATGTGTGGCTCACAAAGTGCTACACGAAGCGGCCAGATGGATTTTTTAGAGCAAAAAAAGCCCTGCTGGTGATGGACAGCATGCGTGCGCACATCACGCCGCAATTTAAAGATAAAATTAAAGCGTGCAACTCCCTCCTTGCCATCATCCTGGGAGGCTTGACAAAAGTGCTGCAGCCTCTGGAAATTTCTGTCAACCGGAGCTTCAAAGCAGCCCTGTGCCACCTTTAGGAACAGTGGATGGTGGACGGAGAGCACAGCTTCACAGCTATGGGACGGATGTGCCATGCGACGTTCCAGCAGGTCCTCGGCTGGATCAATAAAGCGTGGACCTCAGTCCCCAAAGAAACAATCCAGTCGGGGTTCAAAAAGACCGGGATGTTAGCTGGAGCTGCAGCTACAGCTGACGCGGAGGAGGACTCCGACAGCCCCGGGAAGGAAGAGGAGGCAGCGCTACATCACCTACGTCAGAAGTTGGCAGAACTCTTCACCAGCGACACAAAGGATGAAGAATTCAACGGGTTTTAAATAAATAAATAGGCGTTTCTGTCGTCATTATGGGCGGGTGGTGGGTGTGTAATAATATTAAAGCCGTTTCATTTTGTCTGCTTCATTTTGCCATGTTTTGACAGTCAAAGTGCATTTATTAAGGAAAAGTTCAACTGAGACACACCTTTACTATAATTTCAAGCAAACAAATGTTTTTTAGGTGGTTATCTTGTTAAATTTTAAAGCAATGCAGCGGCTCGTCTGGCTGTGCGTGCCCGCTTCGCAGCACCGAGGCAGCAAAACTATTTTTGAAATGCAGCAGATTTGACCATTAAAGTGCATTTATTAAGGAATAGTTCAACTGAGACACACATTTACTATAATTTTGAGTAAACAAATAATTGTTTTTAGGTGTTAATCTTGTTAAATTTTTGTTAAAGTCCTCCCGTGCACGCTCCTGTGGCAGCCAATCCATGTTTGGCACAACACTGTCCCACATTTACCGGTTGTCAGCGGTGACGCGTAACATACACGATGTGTCAGTGGTGACGCATTATAGATGCGACTTATACAGCGAAGCAACATATTTATGTATTTTTCCACTTTATTGGACATATTTGGACTGATGCGATTTATACGCAATGTTTACGGTGGAAAATACAGTAGATGAGTTAGCTAAGTGACATGCTAACATCAGCCCAAGATAGCTGAAGTAAGACGCTAATGTTAGCTCGAGTTAGCTGACATGATAAGCTAATGTTAGCTTGAGGTAGCTGATGTGATAAGCTAACATTAGCTTGAGGTGGCTGACATGATAAGCTAACACTAGCCTTTCTGTTTTGATCTGATTTATTATTTGGTCATCACACATTTTCTTGCAGTTACAGTCAATTATGTGCTGACAAAAGTTATTAAAAATATGTTTATGGATATTGTATTGCTTTAAAATTTGTACATGATGTTATATTTTGCATGTAGAACATGAAGCTACAAAAGTCTGCAGTCACATTCATTGTGAGTGTAAATATGTGAAAAAAACATTTAGATTAGTAAGAAAATCCCCATATTAATAATTTCTATGACATCTTACATTTTTACAGTAAATGTAACTTTTATTGTTCATGTTTGAGATTCCGTTTGTTTCCCCCACTGTAGAAACCATAGGGCCCTACATACCCATACTAGGCGATGGGGTGGCCTCCTGCCGGGTATCACTGACTGCACCTGATGTGTTGTTGATGGAAACAGCCCCTCCTCCTCCTTGGTGCTCCTCCTGTCTCTCCTCCAAGTTTCCCATTAAAGCCTTGCGGATGATGTCCTCCAAGCCCAGGTTACTTGCTGGGTCATTGAAGGACTGATTTCTTGGGTTGATGCTGCCTACAAATCACAATCCGACAAATTAACAGTGAGAGGATGTCTCAACTTGAATGAAAACAAAATGTCTGACCTGGTGTCATTTCTACTTACTGGAGGTGGTAACAGCAGGCAAGTTGAAAATTTCAGTCCCTGGCTGCGCATTTCCTGCAATTGTAAATATTAACATTTGAAAAATAAAACTAAAATATATGACAAGAAATCAAGTTCTTGATGATTTAAAAGGCCACAATGTTCCAGTGTTATTACATGCTTAATGAGTGAGGAATTAGTGGAAATCATGAATGAAACTCAAAGGATAAGAGAAGACCCACTTACCAACATCAGAATCACCTACACCAGAGGTGGAGTTCAACTTACGAAAGATTTCCTGCTTCTTGGATTTAACCATTGGCGAGGTGTTCTCCAACTTGGTGAAGAACGAAGGCAGGTAGCTGACACTCCCCGGGGACCGCGAGTCACTCCTTGAACCAAACAAAGAGCAGAAACAGACAAAAACTAAAACAGCAAAACTTTTTAGGACCACAGGACGTTAAAGTGAACAATCCATCTGCATGCATCCAGACAAGGAACTGTTCTACAGCCAGTTCAGTCAGGATCAAAACATATTGAAAGTATTAACAGAAAACTGAACGGCAATACAGGCTGTGTGAAAGTGAACAAAGAAAATATAAACAAAAATTAGATTTGCAACATGGGACTAGATATTTTATTACAGTAGTCCTTCGTTTATTGTGGGTTACATTCCGGACACCCCCGCAATAAGTGAAAAACTGTGAAGTAGGAATGTTATATTTATTTTAGCATTTACATATCTATTAAGGCTTTATAAACCCTTCCCACATTCTTGCAATATTCTAAACAATGTTCTAAACTCTATATGCTCTAAAAGAGCACACACGTCATGATCGCCACTCTCTGACATGCCCACTTCTCCACTGCAGTCACACTCAAGCTCATCACCTGTGTCACTCCCAGTCTCCCTCCTTCTGCACCTGCCTTCCATGCAGGTGCTTGGAAGGCAGGAGTAAATAAACAATTCAAGTTTAAATACTGTAATAGTTTAAATGAGCATGAGCGGCAAGAGCCTGCGCTTAAGCGCTCTCCAGTCTCTGCCAGATTGTCTGATCGCCTTGTGCCTGAAGTAATCCAGCGTTCTTGTTTCTGCTCTGTTCCTGACCACTTCATAATTCCTCCCCTTTGTCTCCCCAAGACGGATATTTCTGCCCATCGGATATCTAGACCTCTGCTGAACTGAACCACTGGACCTCATGCCCCACTGAGACGCACGCGGCATGATACGTCATGGATCTGATGTGTCTTTTCGTATTGTCTCAGGAGGACGCCGAAGATATTGGAATCATGAAAGCAGGGTTTCTGCTTTTTGGCACCGGCGGATACCCATGTTATTGGCTATTAAAGAAGACGACGGCGGCAGCAGGTTCGGCCATGCCAAAGCTGCCGAGCCAGTGTGAAGGTTTGGTTCGTGCTTCGAGTACTCAAAATCAGCTGATTTACAAGCTAAACTGTAAGATGGAAGCAATTTGTAAGAACTGCGGGCCACTTGCGGCTTCTGGGACTCGCCAGCATGTTGGGGATGACCTTGGAGGGAGCTAATAAGCACGGACCAGTGGCATGAGCACAAATCTGGCCATTTTGGGTTGAAAGTGCCAGCAGAACTCAAGGCTGATGAGAAACAACAGTCTGCCTGAAAAAAATCAACAACTATGGCTTATCTGAATCTGACTCCCTCGCTTGGCTTCGAAGCAGGTCGACTTATAAAATTTCTCCTGGGATATGTGTAAACTAAGAAAAAGCTCTGTCTATTCCAACAACAACTTTAAATAAATAATTATTTTTGCTCACTCCTGTGCGTGGTTACATTTCCAGGTCCCCCTCGTAATTCATTACACAGTAAATGGACTGTAAATGGACTGTACTTGTATAGCGCCTTTCTATCTTATTTCAAGATACTCAAAGCGCTTTACACTACAATCTGTGTCCTCATTTACCCGTTCATACAGCACTCTACTAGATCTGTACAAAGCTAATTGAACAAATCATTCTAAAGAGACTAATCAGAGCTTTAGATCACATTCATACACTGATGGGACACACATCAGAGGCTATGAGGGGTTCAGTGTCTTGCCCAGGGACACTTCGACATGTGACTGCTGGTGGATTTGAACCCCCAACTCTCGCATTGGAGGACGACTGCTCTAACCACTCAGCCACAGCCGCCACAAAAGTAAAAGTAACAGTAAAAGAGTTTCTTTCTTTCACTCTTTTGCTGCATAACGAAATACAAAGGGGACCCGGAAATTGCTAAACAATTTAAAATAATTTATTTTAAATAATCCATGCTGCTCATGAGGCTCACTCCATCAATCAGCCAACAGTGCGTCATATACAATCTTATGTTGAAAACCTGTCAAAGAGCAAGTCCGCAAAAGTCAAACTGCGACGTAGTGAGGGTGACTGTACACATAAAAGGAAACATCTCTACCTACTTCTCATTGCTCCAAAATGTATTAGTCAAAGAAAAGTTAGCAACAACAGTTTAATTAAACTGTTTATTAAATGTATCCAAACTACATCTTAATATAGATGAATTAAGATGCAACAGTTTTCTGGAGTTGTACCTCATCTCCGAGTTGTCAGCCTCTCGTCTTTGGGATGAAGCTCCACCTGCTTCTTGTTTGTCCATGCCCTGATAGCCTTGTGGAGGAGAGATGGGTTCATAGTTCTCCATCTGCCTGCCCCCTCGCTCTGGAGACTTCCCAGGTCTGGGAGGAGAAAAATGGGGGCTAGTTTTAGACGTGCAACAGGTTTATAACTATGATTTTGTAATAATACAAGACCGTGTACCTGATTCTGGGCTTGTCAAGGGCATTTTCTGGAGAAACCCTGCTAGATGGTCTCTGATGATGTGGGGGCTGGACCTGGTTCTCGGGACTGTAACGGCTGGGTGCTTTGACTCGACCTGATGAAGACACTGGTGGAAGGGTGCTCTGGAACGAGGAAGGTGCTGAGGAAGAGACTGGGAGGTCCTGATTCCGGGCAAAGTCTTGTGTTATTATATGCTGCATTTGAGGTAAAGACAAGCCCACAACAAAAGGTTAGTCACGACAGACTGGAACCCCTGGTGATTCTGATAGATGCTGCATTGCATCTTCTGTTGCAAAGTACAGTGCTGTATAGTAAGTACTTCTTACCGAAATGTGGTCTGCCAAGGTCATGACTCTGTGAGTTTTGGGGACATGTGAGTAGCTGTCTGCCTGGGATGAAGGCGGTGGGGGTGGCTCCCCTGGAGGCTGGTAACGACTCATCTCAAATGGACGCATGCCAACTGCAAAGTTCACCGGGGACAACTTTCATTAAAATAGTTGCGGTGAAGTTAGAAGTGATGAGACAGCAATGAGCTGACAGACTCTGCGCCAAAAGTATCTGGTCTACATGAGGTGATAAAAATAACTTAATGCTGTCTGGTGACTGAGCTGGTGGGGTGAAATGCTGACTGATGGCCTCAAGTGTCAGTGGGTCAAGTCATCCAAGTTATGGCATGCACATTCAACTTGTTCACTCTAAAGAGCAAAATTTAGCTCACTACTGCAACAAATCAGGTTTAAGAGTATTTTTCTTCAGCTCTCTGTCTTTGTACCTGGTGCTTGTTGTTGCCCGTCCTCTGGTTTGTCCTGCTGAGACTGGACAGGAGAACTAGCAGGGCTTATCACCTCTATGGCTCCACCAGCAGCGTTGTCATATCGACTAGATGACACTGCAAGACATTATTGACGAGCGTTTTAATTTATGGCAAACAAGGTGTGAGGATGAGATTACGACACTCAAAAGCAGATTGTACTCATATTTTGTTCCTCCACAGCTAAATGATGATGCTACCAAATAAGGTAACCTCATATTACATGAACTTTTCCACACACTGTGATGTTACATTCACAAACTTTATAGTATTTTACTGGCATTTACAAATAAAAATCTAAAACGTACAATGTGCATTTCTACCTAAACTTCTTTGCTCTGATAGCCAAACTACAGCAACTAGAACAACCATTTACAATTTACCGTATTTTACGGCGTACACGTCGTTCCACCCTATAAGTTGCATCAGTCCAAATATGTCTAATAAAGTGGAAAAATCCATAATTACATTGCTTCGCTGTACAAGTTGCATCTATTATGTGTCACCGTTGACATGTCGCATTTGTTACGCGTCCACAATGACGACCCAGAAATGTGGGCTGGTGTTGTGCCAAAAATCGATGGGCTGCCAAATGGCGGCCATGGGAGCGTGCACGGGAGGACTATAACAAGAATTTAACAAGATCAACACTTAAAAACAATTATTTGTTTGCTCAACTTTATAGTAACGGTGTGTCTCAGTCTAACATTTACTTAATAAATGCACTTTGACAGTCAAATCAGCTGCATTTCAAAAGCCGATTCGTGGCTGCAGGCACACGCTGAGGAACGACTCGCTGCACAGTTCTTAGAAATTAACAAGATTAACACCTAAAAACAATTGTTTGCTCGAATTTATAATAAATGTGTGTCTCAGTTAAACTTTTACTTAATAAATGAACTTCAATGGTCAAATCAGCTTCATTTTGCCGGGGCGGTGCAGCGAAATGAAGCTGATTTGACGGTTGCTCCAAGCGAGCTGGACGAAGGTAGGAGGATATGGTAAGCTGATTGTGTCACTAATAGCCACTTTTACCTATTACCGGTACATGAAACAACGGCATACCATATTACTCAAATGCCATCTAGCGGCTGAAAATGGTAGTGTTCAATATTTTCAGTCAGAATGAATGACAACAGTCATATCTCAGCCAAAAATTGGTTTATAAATACGGGAAAAAAATCCATAAATACGTCGCTTTGGCATATAAGTCGCAGGGCATGCAAATTATGCAAAAACCTGCGACTTATAGGGTGAAAAATACAGTACCTTCAAAAGTGACCGAATCAGTCAACAGAATCCACCTGTGTGTAATTTAAGCTCAGCATGAGTACAGCTGTTCTGCGAAGGCCTCAGAGGTTATTAAGGATCAAACAATGTCAGGAAGACCAAGGAACACACCAAACAGGTCGAGGAGAACTCCACCCCAAAGCTGTCTGGCTTGTTCCTTGGTCTTCATGATGCTGTTAATTTACCACTTACAGTAAAATAACGGTAAAAAACTTAATAGTTTTTTGTAGTTGCATTATCACAACATGTGGAAAAGTTTAAGAGGTATAAATAGTTTCAGGGTACTCAGTGAACTCTTATTTAGTTTAATCTCTTTCTTTCCAACACACTCACAGCTGCTTGAAGAGTCAGAGCTCTGAGAACCTCGTTCCCGTGAATCTTTGTCTGGAGCAATCTGGCGTGTGATGATGACGTCGATGAAGTTAGCCGCTGTGATAGTTGTCTTCCCCCGAGTCCGAAGCTCCTCTTCAATACGAGACTTTGTTTGAGGGACTTTGTCCTTCAGTCCAACACCTGGACCCTCCGTGTAACCTGGATGAGGTTTACCACCCGGCAGAGATATGGCACTATTGTACGGTGACTGCAGAGAGCACCTTTCTGTCTCCTGCTGCTGGTGTTCAGAGAGGGCTGGTGCTCGCCGTGCTGCAGCAGGTGAGGACATTTCATCGTCCCTCTCGTGCTTATTCTCCTTCACCTTTGCAAGATCTATTTGAGGAGCTGCAGCTGCGGCATCCACCAAAGCAGCCAGAGCGTCGGCTGCGGTGCTGTAGCGGGAGCCACTTTGTGAAGCTGATGATACCACAGGTGGATGAGGCCTGAGGAAATGGAGAGATGAAGACATCAACAAGTTTTCCTAAAATATAGTCATAATTACCTGGTTTTACATAATGAGAAGACCTCTGACACAAAGAGTTATCACATATTACATCCTGATGTAAATATTATCCTAACACTTGGCTTGCATAAATACTATGTTAAGAGGTGACTGAGATGATTGCATGTTTAAAGACCAATGGTAAATGAACTGTACTTATATAGTACCTTTCTATCTTATCAAAATACTCAAAGTGCTTAAGACTAGAGCCGTGAGGTCGCAAAAGTCCCTGGTGTGTCCACTCTAATTATTTATAAAGTACAAGAATAAAAATGTCTTATTTTTAAGATGCACTGCAACATTTCACGGACAGTTTTGAATCAATAGTTACAGAATATAAGAACACTTAGTTTTGTTGGCTTATACAGTCATCTGAAGATGCATCAGATCTAACAAGTAAATTATAACTACAAAGATGTACAACTCTGTTACACAGTCTCTTAACATTTTAACTTGTTCAAATTTATAAATATATAAAATAAGAACGAGCTAGTGCAGAGATGTACAAACTTTTTCATATGTGGTTCAAAACTGTCATGATGAAAGTAATTGAGGGTCACAAAAATTTGAAATTAAAATAATAATTGGTATTTTTTTTAAGTGCTCAACAACAAGAACAATATTTTGAAGAAAGGACAAAAGTCTACTAAATTTGTTGGAAAACCAATTCTAAATAGTTGTAGATCTAAAACATTAAAAGCCTACTGATATTTAACAAAAAGAGGATTTCATTTATTAATTTGTTGGGTCTATTTTTTGTTTTCTTGTACTTGGAAAGTTCATTGCAGCCTATTCTCAGAAGCCAAAGCGTAGTATGACTAACTGTTATGTAAAAACAGTCACTAAAAAGGGGGTCTTCGCTACTTTTTGGTTACAATCAGTAAAGGTTTGTGGTGCTTTGTACAATGAAATGGAAAAAAAATAAATAAAAATTATAGCCAAAGGTTTGTATTACACTTAATATTGCTCATTTTGAGATTGTTTTTCCATCTGTTTTGCTGTTAAACATAAACATTATATAAATTGTATTGCCATTAAATTAGCAGAAGAGCTACATCTGCATCAACTGCTTTAGCCTACGAGCTAGAGTTGCGATTTCTGGCCCGAGCCCGTGCCCAACCCGGCCAAAATTGTGTGCTTGATGAGTGGCCTGGATCAGGCTCGAGCTTTTGATGTGATTTTAATTGCGCCCGCCCTTTGCTCTTATCGCACATCTGAGGATTTGCAATTGACCCACAACAAGCGACATAATGGAGCTGGAAAGTATTAGACAAAAGCACAGAACGGGAGAACTCGCTCTACAAAGCCAGCACAGTGAAACCTGCTGATGTGTGACATGTGCGTGCTCAGGTCCAACCAGACGGTTGAAAGAGGTAAAAAAATTTTAAAAAAGTTGCGTTAAGTTTTAGATGGATCACCGGATCATCGGCTAAGCACGTCAGCTGACCGGCCGGTTGAAAGAGAAAAAAAAAAAATCTTGTTAAGCTTCAGATGGATCACCGGATCATCAGCCACGCACGTCCCACTTCGCACCTTGCTCTCTCTGTGGTGAAGGAAGTTGCAGCACCTAAAGCTACAAAAGCCAAAGTGAACAACGCATTCAATTAAAATAGCCTTGTTCTATATTTTTCCAAATAATTTTGTTCTAAAAATTTTTTTTCATCTGTTTAATGAGCCTATCTTTAGAGTTGATTTTTTTAGGATATTCGTTTTGTATGTTAATATTATTTTTGTGAATTGTTAATAAACAAGAAATCTTATATCTTCCTTTCATTACGTTTTTAAACTATTATGTCAAACTGATTTGCTTATAAAAGCAGTAAAAGCTTAATAAATTAAAAAAAAAAGCCGTTCAAAAATTTTTTTTTTTTTGGGGGGGGGGGGGGGGGGTGCGTTGTAATTACAATTATAGTAATTAGTTGGGGCAGGACGGGCTCAGAAAAAATGCCTATGGGCTAGGGCCAGGCCGGGTCGAATTTTGTTAGGCTCGAATGCAACTCTACTAGGAGCCACAATTATACCATTGCAGTTGTGGGCTACACTGAATCCCTCCAAGGGCCACAAATGGCCCTCGGGCAGCACTTTGTATCTGTATGCAGTCTGGGGAAGCTGTGGCTGAGTGGTTAGAGCAGTTGTGAGAGTTGGGGGTTCAATTCCACCAGCAGTTGTATGCTTAAGTGTCCCTGGGCAAGACACTAAACCCCTCATTGCATTGCCTCCGATGTGTGTCCCATCAGTGTATGAATGTGATAAAGCACTGATTATTATTGGTACAGAAATAGTAGAGTGCTGTATGAATGGGTAAATGAGAGCACAGATTGTAGTGTAAAGTACTTGGAGTATTTTAATAAGATAGAAAGGTGATATACAAGTACAGTCAATTTACCATTTCACCCTTGGGTTAGTGATGTAAGACTGAGCAGTTTTAATCTTACATTAGAGATGTGATGACACTCTTTCCTTTGAAGATGCTTGGCCGTTGTGGAACTACCACATCCTGGGTCCTAAGTGAGGGTGAAGGGGAGTGCTGATAGCCTCGACTCCCTGGCCGGCCCGGCTGCTCTATAGCACCTTAACACAGAAAACAGAAACATTGTATCACTGTCTCAAAATGGCATGACTTTCTGCAGTAAACTATAATTATGTGAACTCTTTTGAAAAAGTCTATTGTGGTTTTAAATGGCAGCAAGAGGACTCACCTCCACGTATATATTCATTGGTTCGCTCCCGCTCTCGCATTTCCCGCTCTCGCATTTCCCGCTCGCGCTCCCTCTCCCGCTGCTGCTCCCTTTCCTTTTCCCGTTCCTTCTCCTGCTGCTCCCTCTCACGTTCTCTCTCTGCAGCAAGATGGGCTGGATGGCCTGAGAGGAAGAGACAACATGCACAAAAAAAAAAAACCAATTACCGTACGGTTTTACACCAGCTGTGCGGCATCTGTGTTGTGTCTGAGTTACATCATGGTTTCCACTTCAGCTCCCGTGTATCAAAACATGCACAAATACTTAGTGACCTGCAGCATGGGAACAGCTTGAACACACTTTGGCATCAACTTATTTTTTTCAGCAACAATATACAACTAAAATATTTGTCCATCAATGTATTCACTTCATTTCGGCAAGAATAAACTTTTTTGTTTGTTTCAGAAAGTGAACTAAACGTCAGACACTTTCAAAACACGTTTGCCTGTTTTTCTTCTAGTTTTGGTGTGCAATGATCAAAAGTAGGTACAGCATAAAGCTCTGAACCAACTGAGTAGGAACACCAATCACTGATATTTTTGTTCACTTATTGGGGATCAAAAAAACTCAAAAATGTTTAAAACTGCAAAGGCCACTTTGATAAAAACACATTTGACTAAAAAACAAAGAGTAAAGTTAAAAGAATATTTCAACTCAACCTTTTTTGGAGTCTGCTAATGTTGTACAGGAAAGAAAAATGTTTAGATGTATCAGCGCTGTGCTGCCCACAATTATGACTAAATTTTAATTGGGTTAGGATGTTGATTTTTTAAAATGTCATACAAAGGGTTTAATGAAATTACTACACAGTCTTCTCAATACATGAGTCACGAAGCTCATATGAATATTGTGTTAGAGATGTTGTCCATGCTGTTGAGTTCTTGATCTACCAACAGATCACCACAAAAATCAACTAGTTTTATATGAATCTACGTAAAGTTTAGGCAAATGACAATTAGGAAAATGCAAACAGAAAGAAGAAACCTAAACTTCATAGATGTAAAAGAAACTATTTAAATTGAACTATTTTTAAAAAGTGCTCCTAAAGTTACAATAATGACAAAAATAGCTGTCATGTATCAACTGGATATCTGTGTATGAAACCGTTCCTGGTGTGAGTGTGGTAATATTTTCACTTGATTTGTGATTAAAAAACTCAAAACTGATCTTTAACACATTAGACCAGTGTGGAGCTGCACTCTTACCAAGTATGAGGAAACAGGAGATCATGGCAAGAAAGACAAGGGAAGAGAAGGGAACAGAGGGTGTAAGAATCGGGGAGGAAGGGATCCTCACCTGGCGATATGGAAGTTGGGTTGAAAGCTCTAGTAGGGAAAGGGGGCTGAGCTCCAGGGAGGTAGGCGGTGCGTTCCAAAGTGGGAGCACCTGTTCCCCCAGGGTGAGGCAACAGGATAGTTGGAGGCATCTGGGCTACATCAAAAATCCCTTTTACAGACAGAAGCAAAGGGCCAATGGTGAACAACATAAACCATCAATTTCTTAATCAATGAACACTTAGCTGTAACCCGTCACCTTCATCTAGTCGTACTCTCAAATACAGATTGATTAGTAAGCAACAGGGCTGCAAACAAAGTGGAATAGTGGTCAAGCTGTAAAAGGCAACCACTCAGCAAATCAAGATTTGGATGACTATACCCAATCGACAAATTGAGTAGTAGCCGAATCAGTTGCAGCCCCGATGTAAAAAGCAAATCAGCCAAATTTGTAAAGGTCATTTGCTTCTGGGCGTCTGGAAAAGGAAAGCCACTACTTCACAAGGACACACTCTGCATACTACAGCCCCTGCTGCCCACAGCTCTTCCACTGCCGGTCACAGCAGACAGGAAACATGACCTATGAGATGAGGCCCATACCTCGAGCTCCAGGCGCATAAGGAATAGCAACAGGCTGTTCCCGTGGTGACAGCCCTCTGGCCATGTCAGCCCGAGGGATGCCATGCATCTGCTGGGAAGTGATGTAATCGTTCAGGATGGTCTGCCGCGTGTTCTCCATGGTGTACAACTGGTAGGTGTTATGGTAGCCTGTTGAGGATGGCTGCCTGGGAAACATGAATGCTGTAGCAGAGCAGAAAAAAAACCCCACATGAAACGAATAAGGCTCACAGATACTGACCACCACTGTTGACGTCAATAGCTGAAAAGGATCCTGGACATGCAATGACTATGAAGCAGAGGACCTGAGTTGCTTTCGTCCATTTGCTCAGAGTCTTTAATTTGTTGTAAGTGAAAGAGTGAGAATGCTTTAAACACTGTACCAGGGTCCAGCACTCTGTGGAAGGCCAGCGCAGGGTCCAGATGTGGAGGCAAGTGGGGCCGGTACACCTCTCCAGGAACCACAGGCCGATGGTGGGGGTCAAAGGGGCTGTGAGAGGCTACAGGATCACCTCCTGACACAGGCGACTTGGCGGGGATGCTGTCCCTCTGAGTGGGGGTCATGGCACTCTTCCTGTCATGTGCAGCAGATTTTGAGCTCATGACACCTTCAAGAAAAAAAGGAATACAAATGACTCGTACTGTTAGTGTTTGTAACAATTTAACGTTTTTAATTCTGTCAAAGAAAATTACATCTGCAGAAACAAGAGGTGCTTCTGTGCTTTGACACAAAATGAAAATTTTCACACACTGATTATCATCTGGTACATAAAGTGACTCAAATGGCTCAGAACTGTTGTAATGCCAAAACCTTACTGTTGTACAAATGTCTGAATGTTTTGTAACTTTCACAGGTGCATCAGCAGAGCTGCTGTCACACTGTGTTTTACTCACTAACAGCCAACCAACTGATGTGGCTGTGTGCGTATGAGCACAGCTAACATACTATCACAAAAAAGTTTTTCATTTACTGCCGGGTGTCAACGCTGTTAATCAGAGGTGTTCACTTGCAATCTAATCACCCAAGATGATGATATAGATCTAAACGATGTGTTGAGTAAAATAAATGTGACCCATACTGGCAAAATGAGTTGGTATGAGCACAGGCTGCAGTGCAAATACAGATTTTTACTGTAATTAGGTTTACATTTAAAAAATGAATTAAAAAAAAAAGAGTTGTAAAAATTAGTTCATAAAGACACCATCTAGAAACCTCAGTAACTAAAATTACATTAAATCTTCCAAATTCACCCTTAAAATCAAAGTTGTCTAAAAGGTATGTCTTTAAAAATAAACTTTGATAATCCTTGATAATTTCCTTCAAAATAAACCATTTTCTCTGCTGGGTGCAGTAGTGCCAGGAAATCCCTTCATTTAATGTTTAGTGTTATTGTGAAGCTTAAGCATTTCCCTTTTTAATGAATATAGGGCAGAAATTCCGGATTACAACACGCCACTCTCATCAACAAAACAAGCTTGTTGCTAACCTGGTGATAAATATAATATTTTAAACTAACTATGTATCATTTAAAGCTTTTGAGATATAAATTTTGAAAATAACTCATTTTTTAAAAATAATTGTCATTTTATGACACATTTTGCCAGCACTGGTGGATAAAATAAATAGAATGTACCATCTGGTGCACGTCCCAGCATAGGTGAGCCTCTGGAAACAGGATTAGTGCTGTAGTTCACTGGAGTCCTGCGAGCATTGGCATCCTCATACATGCTCGGGCTATGTTGGGATTTGCTGGCTTCCTGGTGTGTGGAGCGCAGGACCGAGGCGGTGGAGTTAACCACAGAAGTGTGGCGGACTGCCTTGCTCTCCTCATATTTGGCTCGTTCCATTGCTTCAAGTTGGGGCATGCTGTGGGAAAGCTTACTGGGACTGGTGATAAGAGACTTGACATTGTGTTTGATAGTGGACTGGGACAGGGAGTGAATCTGTTAATGGGAGAAGGAAGTTTTAAACAAAAGATGAGTCAAACAAATGATCTGCTTGTGAATTTTAGATTTTCAGTATCAGTTTAATTAAACTGTCTACAAAAAATATAGAGTCAAACCTGAGGCATGGATCCCTCCATCACCCTCCTGTCGGGCAGGTCGGCAGTCTTGCACAGATCCTGACACTCGCTGGGGATTTCATGAACAGAACGTCCTGTTTCTTTGATAGTACTGACTCCTTCATAGGGTTTGCCTTTAACAATCGCCCCATCAAATGTCCGGATAGGTGGGCTTTCTGTTTTTATCCGTTTCCCATATTTTATGGCATCCTCGTAATTGTCAGCAGCTGTTCTTGGCGTCCCTTAAAAGACAATCAAAAGCACTTCAGCCACTTTTTTGTCTGATGCTACTAATGACATTTGAAATGTGACAAGCTTTATATTTATCCACCATGCATGATAGATCCAGTGATCAGTGTTCGTTCCTTAGAGTCTCCATGGTGACTTTCTCTTGGTAAGGCTCTACTAATCAACCCTGCAGAGATAAGGGGACAAAAAGGGTCATCATTACCATCTGAAACAAAAATGTACAACCAGTACACACAGTGTACACAGAAAAATAAAGAGTACCCTCAAATGGAGCCCCCTCCCTGCCAGGGTGTCCTCTCCCCAAGGGTCCCTCCATTAAATCATGTGTGCGCTTTAGCTCATGGCTTGTTCGGGGACTTCGAGTGCTTTCCCTGGAGTTCTTCATAGCTATTGAGGAAAAAACAGATCAAGTTTGTATTCTTGGTGAAGAAATGCAATTATTGAGCAAAATAAAAAGGCAAGGTGCTTACGATCGTAGGAGAGGATGTGACCGCTCTTGCCTTCGTAGATGACATGGCCTTTGGCCTGCTGCTCCCCCCTGGCCTTATCCAGGGTGCTCAGATCCTCTGCCACCTTGGTTATTGTATTTTTAAAGAGGTCAGCAGCAATGCTAGGCTGGGGCAGAGCCGGAGTGCCCTATTTATTTGCAGAGCAAAAACATTTAATTTAAGCAACATAAATTGCATACATTTGTGTTAAATACCTATTGAGGGGGAAAAAAAAAAAACCACATCTAATAATTACCCGAGTAATTGATCCTCTAAAAGCATGGCCCTCACCGACCTTTGAAGGGTTGTCTCGGCAATCTTGTATGGATGAAACTGCAGTGCCTTGAACGTTACAAAGAGAAGAAGGAAATTGGGTCATCTGTGGTTGGTGTTAAAGATTTTTTAAAGGATTCCCTACTTTGAGTTCAATAAAATATATAAATGCAGAGGATGTAACAATACAAACTTCAGAAAAAGGTGTGAGAATTGGTAAATGGACTGTACTTATATAGCGCCTTTATCTTATCAAGATACTCAAAGTGCTTTCTTTACACAACAATCTGTGTCCTCATTTACCCATTCACACAGCACTCTACTAGATCTATACAAAGCTAATTGAACAAATCATTCTAAAGAGACTAATTCAGTGCTTTATCACATTCATACACCAATGGGACACACACCGGAGGCAATGAGGTGTTCATTGTAGGGCTGGACAATAATTCGATATTGATATACATCACAATATACTTTTATTCAATAACGGCGATATGAGTTTTAAGCACATTTTCGATATTTAAATATACATTACACTATGATTACAGCATTTCACTGACGCAGTTCTTTTTCTGTTCGGGTTGAAGCAGCCGCTTCAAATGGCAGCCATTTCAACCCGAACAGAAAAAGCCATGACACAACTACGTAAGTGTGTGGTGACGTACACCACACTCAGAGCGCAAGTCCAGAAGGAGTCAGCCATAGCAGGCTAGGCTAGTCTCTAACGCGCAGTAAGTTTTCGCTTTAAAATGAGTGCCCAATGTCAGAATGTGACTGAACAAGGTTTCACAAGTGAAGAGAAAGCAGATGGCAATTGATGAGAGGAAAGACTAATTCGGCAGTGTGGAAGTGGTTCGGCTTTCCAAGAACCGATAAACTGCAGGTTTCAGTCAGTGTGCTGTAAAATGTGACAGAGAGTCTTCCAACTAGTAGTGGGAACACATCTAACTTGTTTCATCTGAAGAGTTTCCACTCGATAGAATATGCTGAGAGTCAGAATATGAAGCACAATAAAAGTTTGAGCCAATGTGTCCTTGAAACAACACCCCCAGCTGTATCAAAAGAGAAACCCATGCAGCAAACATCTGCGTTTGCTGTATGGGCTAGGTTATGTTGTTGTTTAAAGTTCAAACCATTCATATTGACAAAGTTGAGAGTTTTATGTTTATTTTACGGTGATTTCAAATTTCTTTGAAGGCTAAATACAAATAAAAACAAAACATTAATTTATTTGTACAGTTTGTACAGTTTTTCTGAGGCTTTTATATTGTTTATATCGATATTGAATTGTATAGTTATCGACCGAAATTAAGAAATATATCGTGATAAAGGTTTTGGCCATATTGTCCAGTCCTAGTTCAGTGCCCAGGGACATTTTGGCATGTGACTGCTGGTGGATTCGAACCCCCAGCTCTTGCATTGGAGGACGACTGCTCTAACCACTCGGCCACAGCCGCCCCAGGAATCCAAGCGAAGAATTTCATATTCATTTAGAAAATGACAGACTTTTAAAAAATGTGTTTTGTCATGACAGAAAAGGAGCGGAGGAACATATAATTTAAAGGCTCTGTCAGAAGACAGTTCTGCGAAATGGCTGCACAGTCCATTCCGTGTTAATGCTTCCTCTGGCAGTTCATAAGTCACCAATGGAGCTGCTCCCTTCCCACGCTCAAATGAGCTTTCAGAGTACAGCAAGTGGAATAAAAAGAGGCGTGGAAAACAAAACTCAGTTGCTCTGACATGTTGCTGCACTCAAGCTGCTGATGAGAGCAACATTCGCCGATGGCTTTTGCCCCATATTACGTTGCAGAGATCAAAGTATGTCCAGTCTATCCAGCCGCGACCACTTCGACCATTGTGGTCATTTACTTGGTGGAGTTTTCTTTTTAGGGTTTTAAGTTTTGAAGTAACCCAACTCATGTCACAGTTATATCTGTACTCCTGCATTCATTTTGCCAGTCTCTCCAAAAGAACCCCATCCTTCACTGTGCAGGTAAAGTTTGTATTCATTTCCTCCTGTGCATGTAGAGCAAGGAGCTTGTGGGTCTCGGAATTACCATAGATTTCTATTGTCAAATGCAAGGCAGTGTTTCCCCTTGGCCAACTTGGCATGCCCTCGGCAGGGCATGGTCATGTGTTTGGGATATTTCGTCGGACAGTTGCACTATGTTAGTGCTGGCAGAGAGCAGAGAAGCGAAGCGCTACATTTGTAGCTAGCGCGTCTGTATTGCGTAATGCTACGTCAGTGCCAGCTGTTGTTAAGGGGGTGGGGGGTGGGGGTGAAGGTCAATTTGGTAGGCAGGGAGCTTGGTTCTGTTGACAGGGCGGGGTGCTCTCCTTGGATAACGGTAGCAGTAGTGGAAACGTTGCAAGGGTTACATTTTGTTGGGAGAAAGAAAAAAAACCACTCCGAAAGTTCAAATCCGAAAGGAGTCTGGCTATGGTTTTAACTTTTAAATCTCGGAGCTGGGTGGTCTCCGAGAGCATATGCCAGCACTTCGTCCCATTATTCTAATCAGTTGGTGCCGTAAAGCCAATCCACCTTTTCTGATGCCGACAGTTACGGGCCCGCTACTACCTGGCTCAGAGAGGAGCTACAGAGGTAGGGTATTTCAATTCCCCATCTCCGCCTTCGTGTGTCTTCTGAATGGACCGAGGTGGGGAAAAGATGTGTCAATCCCAGACTGAGGAGTCTTGTGAAAAAGCCTTAAAACACTCTACGTAAAAACAAAGTGAGAATGGCATGTTCGGATGAAACACAGGAGCATGAAGACCTGTTTGTCTGTCACAAATGAGAGGTGAGACACTGAGTTTTGTTTTTTCACTATTCGTAAACCATAATCACCAAAAATACAAGAAATAAAGGCTGGAAATATGTCACTTGATTTGTAAATTGGGGCAGCTGTGGCTGAGTGGTTAGAGCAGTCATCCTCCAGTGGGCGAGTTGGAGGTTCAATTCCACCAGCAGTCACATGCTGAAGTGTCCCTGGGTAAGACACTGAACCCCTCACTGCATCTGATGTGTGTCCCATCAATGTATGAATTTTCATTCAACCTTTATTTAGACAGGTAAATCCCATTGAGCCTCGAGGACTCATTTACAAGAGAGACCTGAAATGTGATCTAAAAAGCACTAGTTAGTCTTTATAGAATGATTTACTAGAGTGCTGTATCAATGGGTAAATGAGGGCACAGATTGTAGTGTAAAGCGCTTTGAGTACCTTGATAAGATAGAAAGTCGCTATACAAGTACAATCCATTTACCGTTAATGGATCTATGTAATATGAGTTTCACTTGACAAAAAATTGAACTTCTTCACAAAATTCAAATTTTTTGAGCTGCACCTGTAAAACACAGAAAAGCTTGAAATCAGCATAACTGATAATGTTTATTTGCCCAGAATAGTGGTATCCTAATTGCCACCTTCTGCCTTTCTTTAAGCAAAAGAACATAATAGCTCTCCAAACCACTGGAAGAGAAAATGCTTTTATATTAGTCTTCCAAAAACAATCATAAAATAAAATAATTTAAAAAGATAATTGTTTGGTGCACTAAGATTCTTAAGGCCATCAGCGGTTGTCACTAAGGAGAGGTTTGTCCTTTACACCAGTCTAGTTAGATTTTCTGTCACGTTTGTTCAAATGGAGCAAAACAACGAAAAAAAAAGATCAGTCATGTGACAGTCTGTCATCCTACCAGGTTTGTTGGGATCCATCTGTCGAGGCAGACCCAGAGAGATGGAGCCCACAGAGCTCTTAGTCCCCTCTGGTCCATAGACAGCATGGGAGGGCAAATATGTGCCAGGAGTTCCCTAAATAAAAATGAGGACAAATAACTCATCTTATGTTCAAGTTACTGCAGTTATGAGAGAATAATAAAGTGGTGTCAAGTGATATTGATCATGTTTTATATGTTAACACCAACCCAATGATGTCAAGTAATAACTAAACATAAGCACTCATTATACAGAAATCAGTATTTTATTAAAATATGATAAGGTTAGGACCAACATTAGCTATGTTTACATGCACAAAATTCTTTGATCGGATTGAAATGTATTTGGATTAAATAATCCAAATATATCGTTTACATGGGCACAATCCGATCATGATGAGCGTTTATATGCAGAGGGCTTTTATTCTGAACTGAAGTACTGACATGCGCAGAGTGGTAAACGCTCCTTAAAGAAACCACAGAAGAAGAAGTTCTACTTCCAGGATGAATGTAAACAAACCTGAGCACCCAAAATGGACCCGCACCAGGTTTTAATGATGGTGGAGACGTTACTGCACTCCCTGACTGAGCTACAGGTAATACAGACCATTTTGAGCTCTTTCAAAATTTCTAGTAGAAATGTTGTCGCTCACCGACCAGTTTTACTTCCCCGACTTATTAGCATCTAGCCAGGCGGAAACACATGAGGTTGACAGGTCGCACATGCACAGTCAGGTCAGTTTTCCACGATCGGAATAAAATGATCAGATTAAGTGTTTACATGCACACTGTTCAGATTATGAATCAGCATAAACAACCCCTCTCATTCTGATTACAAATTCATTCGGATCAAGCTGAATCAGCTCAGAATAATCCGAATGGGGCGTTTACATGACGCATTTTTATTCTGAATGGCCGTTTAATCCGATCACTTATGTCCATGTAAACATGGCTGCAAATGAGGTTAGCCAGAGTCGAGCATGTGATGGTGATGAAAATAAACCCAGTATTCATGTTAACAGCACACATGAACATGATTAAAGTTAGATTTGTCCACATTAGTATCAGTAGTAAGAGTGCAATGGACTGAGTCGTTTAGAACAGCTTCAGATCATGACCTGCGAGCCTTACCAGGGAGATGGAGCCTCCATGGATGAAGGAGGGCTTGTCTGTGGGCTTGCTGGTTGGAATGAGTGGAGGAGGAGAGGGAATGTTGGGAGGTCGAGTGGTTCGGCTGAACGTCACGCGGACTCCATCATTTACACTTTGGATCAGCTGGTTGGAGGCAGGGTGGAGGACTAATGGGAAAATAAGGGAAACAAAACACACTTGATTACTCACGTGAACGTTTAACAGCAAATATAAAATCCTCTAATCCAATTCTCTAAATATCCTCTGCTGCCTAAACTCTAAAACATCATTGCAAGTATAATTTTCCCTCAAGACTGATATTTAAAAGACTCATCCTTGTTCTGGAAACCAAAGTCCACAGTTAATGGCCTCTTTTCAGACAGAGCTACCTCAGGTCTGTGCTTTCAGTCTGCTTTAATGTACCCTGGGACAGCTGAGCAGACTAAACAGATCAGAACAGACCGCAAATAAACAGATGCACACTGAGAGTAACCTCTCTGTAGAGACTCTGCACCATCAAAAATGCAAATGGCTGAGCAAGTTACTCCAGCAGCAGGTATGAACGTCATCATCCTGCAGGCTCAGAGAAAAAAAAAAAAAAGAAAAAAAAAAAACATGTTGCAAAACTGTTCAAATTGATTCAGCACCAGAAGAGCCAAATTATTAAGGAAGTGATGAACAAAACTTATCTACTGCAAATATTAATACAAAAGAAAAATCTTTAAAAAAAGATAAAAATAAAAAAAAAACACAAAACTAAAGTTTATCAAAAACTCAACTTATTGTTTTAATTCTCCTCCTTTTCTCTTGTATATCATAATGACACTGCCTCTGTAACTAAGCTATATCAATTTCTTTAAAATTGTCTAAAAACTGAATAATCTGTGGAAATGTACTTACTTGGATGCTAAATATTCCCAATTTACATATTTTACTTGTTAGTTTCAGTACAAGTGCATTTGAATATAAAATTCTAATATAGTCATTTAGAAAGTCAGTGTTCGATCATCCTACTCATTCAATAACTAAACTTTATTCTACAATTAATTCAGTGCTAATCTGTTCCTATAAAATGAACAAAGTACCATATGCATTGATCTTGGTCGATAACTGCACTGTTGCAGTTCAGTCATTTTATATAATTTGTCTACTGTTTAGCTAATTTGTCTATCTAATCACAAAGTGCCTTAATGTACCAATAAATCATCTAGAACTTATTAATAACCAAGACGTGCAGCATAGTATAAAGCATACATGCCCTGGCTTCAACAAAATATAAAATACTACAATTGGTCAGTCAAACGATGGATCAAATACAAGCAGAAACATACCAGGGTAAGTACTTTACTAATACTCATCTTTAATTACTGCCTTTGAAACGAGTCATATCTCTCACGCAATGAAATGCAAGAAAAGTGCAAAGAAAACTGAACGCTGATGGAAACTATCCACTGAGATAAACCCTCAGCTTCTTTCAGAGGCAAGAAAAGTGTAGCTGTCAAAAAACCATGTCATTAGTGACAGGATGACATGCTTCAGGGAATAAAACAAATTTCTGTTATGAAGTTGGTGCACGTGCGCACCAACATACCATGTGTTTGTGCATAACTCAAGAATCTAAACCATTAGGCCTACGTAATAAACTTCACATACTCAAAAAAACGAATGCTGTCAAAATAAGACCATTAGCTAAAATGTTTTATAACCTTTAATCAGCATCTGAAATATTAAACTGCATTCTTTATTTTAGTTAAACAATGATTTTAACTAGACAATATACAAAGTGTGTAGTTGATGTGGACACACGTTAAGCCAAAAACTAAACTAAACAAGTCAAAAGTTCTCTAAAGCAACAAATCTCAACTTACGACTGAATCAAAACTGTCATAACATAATTAATTTGTTCTCCTGCTTATTTTCTATACAGATGACAGAAATTGAAACATAGGCATTTAGACCGTTTTGGATTTATTAAAAATTTGCTCTAACAGAGCAAAATCTCATTGTTTTGAGTTTGAATTAAAAAAATGTTACTGCCAGTGGAGTCAAAACTACAAAAGGCAAACACAAAAAAAACTATTGTTGTATTGGGATGAGTCTGTGTGAAAATACTGAAAATTGTTGGATTGTATTGGGATGGTTTATATTAATGAAAAACGCTACACATAGGAAGCTGGGGTGGACGGGCTACAGCAGGAGGACGCTTTTGGCACACTGTAGTAGGGAGTAGGGGGGTGGATAGGCTCAAACTGGCCTTAGCTCACAGGGGGGTGGTTGTGTCTGGGTGACCATACTGAGCCTCCTGGTCCAGAGCCAGCATCACGTCACAAAGCATGGAGGGTATAGCCGGTACAAAGGCACGAGGACAAAGGGAAATGAATCTCTTCTGAAGTAACAGGCCAGCGCTGTGAGCAGAGCTGACCCAGAACGGATGGACCTGTGCAAACAACACCACCTGGACACACCTGCTAAAACGTTTGTTATGTTGGTGTTAAAGCTCAGCAACTTACTGTCTGCCCTACTCTGCACAGCACTTTGACTTAAAGGTGCTAAAAGCTTAAAAAAAAAAAAATCAAACCATGATGTCGCTGCTTCTTTCTGAGAGGATAAACTACGTCTAAAAGCCCAGAAGGACCCGTGGGCTCCGATAGACTCATGTCAGATAACTAACACTTTTTTGTCTAATTTCACACAGTAATTCCATTTTGATCAGACATTCCCATCAAACGTGTTTATTTATAACAGGGTTCCTGCAGAAATCAACCAACTAAACTTTAAACAGAGACACACCTTTACTACACTGGGCATACAAATTCATCTTTAAGTATTAATATTGTTTAATTCAAGAAGTAGACAAAAACAGCTAATCAAACTGAGACAGACACTTAAACTGGCTGTGTGTAGGGCTGAGTACCGAACCGAGGTTCTTTTATGGCACCGACCGAACTTCACCGGTCGGTGTATGTATTGAAACGTCACTCTTCTTTCGGTGTTGGCTGTAACGTGTCACGTGGTTTCAGCATGCAGGCAGGCAAAACACCAGACATATGACAAACAGACTACACCCAGATTACATCCAGAGCTGTATAGAGCTGCCGTACCTAATCTATGTATAATTATGTCTATGGTGCTGGTGACGCCCACAGACGGGTTCACGTGTGCAGCGCGTGTTGTAGAACAGCTTCGACAACACGCGCTGCAGAAAGTTGCTCTGTGTTTTTCTGCGAGGAGAGAAGAGTTCTAACTAGAGAATCTCTAACTAGAATAATCACTGTGAAAAACCGCATCTTGTTGCTGCTGATCTCTTTCAATGTTGATGTGTTCATGCGTGCACATCCGCTCACACAGACTCATGCTCATGTTTGTGCTGATGTTCAATGTTTTTATGTTATGAGTGCTTAGTGTATATTTAGTTGATGTTTTTCTTAGTTCATATCTTGGATGTTATTACTGTTTTTCTTATACATTTTATTGTTGGATGTAACTGGGACCCTGTGTACATAATTTTGCTCCACCACATGTACCACATGAGGTGCGAATGACAATAAAGAATCTCTGACTCTGACTTTGAGTTCATTAGCCTCCCCCTCCTCCTCCTCCTCTCAGCATTAAAGTCAGCCTGTGAGTAGAGCCTGAACGTCCTGATTCTTTATCTCCATGACCGGACTCTTCATCAAAGAACTCCGAGGACGTCTCTGTGAGTTTCAGCTGGTGAGTTACGTTTGTTAGCGTAACTGCAGCTTAACACGTGCATCGCGGTGAAATAAACTATGATCCATGTAACGCTAACTTTAGCATTTTAGTGTGTAAATTTATTTTATCTACGTAGCTAGCTAAACTCAGAAGCTAACTAAAGACTGACAGTAAGATACCATACCATACCACTTTATTTATAGAGCACTTAAAACAGCTACAAAGCCAACCAAAGTGCTGTACAGACAGAACAACAGGTAACACACAAAGCAAAATACTAAATGAGGTAAATCAGAATATAGACAAAAAACGATGCAGATAATGACGACAAACCAGTGTGGAGCATACAGGATCAAAACACAGATCATCTTGTGTTGAAAGCTATTGAATAGTAGTGAGTTTTTAAACGGGACTTGAAAACCGAGAGGGAGGGGGCCTGTCTGACAAGCAGAGGTAACGCGTTCCAAAGTCTTGGTCCTGCTACAGAGAAGGCCCTGTCACCTCTGCGCTTAAGACGAGTTCCTGGAACTGTGAGAAGCAACTGGTCCGCTGACCTCAGGGAGCGTGGTGGGACATATGGTTGTAGCAAATCAGAGAGATGGGGGAGAGAAACTGTTCAGTGATTTGTAGACATACATGAGTATTTTGAACTGGATTCGAAAGTGAACCGGTAACCAGTGCAGTGAGGCCAAAACTGGTGTAATGTGCTCTCTTTTGCCTGTACTGGTTAAAAATCGGGGTGCTGCATTCTGGACCAGTTGTAGTCGTGCAATGGAGGTCTGACTGATACCAAACAGAAGCGAATTGCAGTAATCAAGTCTAGATGTAATGAATGCATATATTACTGTCTCCAGGTTATTTTTGGACAATATGGGCTTCATCCAAAAAAGTTCAATCTGGTCCTCTGGACATTCAAAAAAAACAAAAACAAAACAAAGCAAAAAAAATCTAGAAACATTTTTTTGCTTTGTTTTGTTTTTGTTTTTTTTGAATGTCCAGAGGACCAGATTGAACTTTTTTGGATTTTTCTACCTGGATTATTGAGCATGCATCAGGATAATATGGGCTTCAGTTTAGACAGCCGCCTCAGTTGGAAGAAGCATGATTTAACGATCATGTTTACATGATTGTTAAGCTTCAGGGAAGGGTCCATTATCACGCCCAGATTAGTGACTCTGTTTTTCTGACAGGGTTAGAGCGGAAAGGTCGATGCAGTGGTTTGTGATCGTGTCATTGGGAGGGAACAACATGACTTCAGACTTCTTTTCATTGAAACTTAAGTTTAAAGCCATCCAGTCCCTGATATCAGCCAGGCAGTTGAGCAGCGGTTGAATAGAGCATGTACCATTGTGTCTTAGGGGGAAGTAAATTTGACAGTCATCGGCATAAAAGTGGAAGGGCATGTTGTGTTTCTGGAAAATAGCACCAAGCGGCAGCAGGTATAAAGAGAATAGGAGGGGACCCAGGATGGACCCCTGCGGAACCCCCCATTTAATCTCTGCCTCTGCGGAACTAAAATCCTTGATGGAGGCACAAAAGGATCTGTCAGCGAGGTAAGATCTGAACCAATTGAGGGCTGATCCTGTGACACCCACCCACTGCTCCAACCTAGCAATGAGGATCTCATGGTCGATGGTGTCAAAGGCAGCTGAGAGGTCCAACAGGACAAGCAGCACAGAATCACCAGTATCTGTGGATCTGAAGATGTTGTTAAAGACCTTCAGCAGGGCAGTTTCAGTGCTGTGGAGAGGTTTAAAGCCAGAGTGGAATAGCTCTAAGATGGCGTGATCCGCCAGGAAGCACTTCAACTGGGACTCGACTATTTTCTCCAGTACTTTAGAAACAAATGGGAGTTTGGAGACAGGCCGGTAGTTGGAAACGATTGAGGGGTCAAGGTTTGTTTTTTTCAGGAGAGGCTGGACAGCAGCATGTTTAAAGGATTTTGGCACCATGCCGGTGGATAAACTACTGTTTACTATGGCAAGAATGGACGGACCTAGAGTTGTAAACACCTCCTTTAGTAGTCGAGGGGGGACTACATCAAAGGGGGAACCAGAAGGTTTCAAGCTACACATGACCTGCTCTAGAGAAGATAGAGTGATGGGTTCAAAATGGTCAAAAGGAGCTACAGATTGAGGTGGGATGGATGGGTCATGAGTTTGAGGGGAAATGAGAGCCCTGGTGGTCGCAATTTTTTCCAAAAAGAAATGTAAGAAGTTGTTGCACAGCTCAGTCGAGGCTTCCAGAGGTGATGGTTCAGTGAGGTGGAGAACAGAGTTTAGGGTGGAGAAGAGAACATAAATCTTAGCTTGTAAAAATGTGCTCATCCTTAGTCAGCTGCTTAAACAGTTCACTAATGTTCACAGTTTATGTTCATGTTCTCCTCACAGGAGGTTCTGACCCAGATGTGAGGACAAAAGAAAAGCGAGGTGGGGGCCACAGGACAATCAGACTTTGTTGTTAAAAATTTGCTGCCTTTTTCTACAGTGGAGCTGCATGTTGGAGGTAAATTAAACTTTAAAGGATTTTGTTGACCAGTTAAACTTTTATCTCTCAGCCTAGATAATGTTTTTTCATCAATAATAACACAACCATGTTATTGTTGATGTTTTGTTCTCATGGCAATTAGGGAGATGATCAGAGCCCTAAACCCCAGAGAACCACAGAGAAGATTCAGGAAGAGACACAGAGGTGCAGAAGTCTGCATCAACCCTACCTCATTGAATCCAGTGACCTGCTGGTGGAATGTGAGGGACAATATGTCAGTGCTATCAAACTGACAAACAGGTATCTGTGTGTGCAACAAGCATCATCTACAGCCTCGGAGTGAACATTTTCTACTGCTGGAGACACCATCAGCCAGGAGCGGGCTTGTTTGTGTCCAGAGAAAGCAGACAGGTTGATGTTTCTGAAGAAAAACTGTTAAGTGAAAAGGTCCTCAGTGTGTAGCAGTGAGCGTTAAACACTGACGTGTCACTGGTTTGTAATTGCTCTTTTGACCTGGAAATTATTTGTTTGTTTTTATGTAAGAAAACTGCTTGGAATAGAAAAATACCAAAGTTAAAAAATAAAACTCACAATTTGTACTGTAATGTGTAACGCAATTTTATTCGTTAGAATTAATAGCAATTACAAAATTGGTACCGAAAAAAGAACCGTCCAGGAACCGACACCGAAGTGAAGGTACCGACACCGGTACCGATTTTTTTAGAAAGGTACCCAGCCCTAGCTGTGTGCGCCCGCACAGCAGCTAAACATTTTTTTTCACACCACCGACTCACCTTTCCACGTTGACTTTCAGCTATTCTTTTCCTGTAAAATCCTTCACCATCCTGATCATCAACAGGCTATAAATTCCTTGTTTTCCAACCACTTTAGCTTGAGTTTGCATTAACCCATTGTGTTTCTGCTCCTGAAGTTTTCCCATTTTACCTCGAACACACGATCTTCTGACAGGTGAGCACCGACCAGCCAGAAACAATTAATAATGGCTCCGCGTTACTCTAATGTAACTCTAATATATCACCATGATGAGTGTTTGGCTGAGCAGTTTCCAACATTACTCAACACATTTTTATTGAAAACAAGTGAAAACAAGTCACTGAGGTTCAAATTTAATGAATTTTCAATGTCACTTAAGGCCCTGAATTTTGTTAAATCCATTTAATGCTTTTTAATGTCCCATGGAAACCTTGTATAAATTAATGAGACCTTACAAGCACATTAGCTTTTTAGGAAATGAGAGGGGTTATGAACTGGGGAAAAAAAAAAAACTGCTTTAGAAACAATAGTAGTTTTGGCTCTCCTTACCGTCCCTGTCCAGCACGGTCGGGCTGCGAGTGCTAAAGGGAGGTCTACGTTCCAGGTCTCCTTGATCTGGCCTCTGCTTCTCCTCCTGGTGTGCTGAGTCATGAACTGCTTTGATTTGGTGTTGAAACATTGTTAAACCAGTGATGGACACTCCACCGGGGCCATAAGGACCAGGCACCTAGATAATTAGGGAGGGGATGAGAATACAAAGGTCTTAAAATTAGTTCATTTAAAAAAAAAAAGTTCAATAAACAAAATGCTTCATAAAAAAAGAATCAAGAGCCTAGCAAAAGAATAAAGACACAACATATTCATATACATGTGCTAGTCAAAATAAAACTATATGAAACTAACCATGGGTGGGATGGTAGCTGCTCGCTGCTCCATTTGCTGGATGCTGAGATGGGCTTGTTTAGGTGAGGATACAAGCACAGAGCCTGGAGAGCTGAGCATCGAGGGTTTGTCCATGGGGTGTAGTCTGTAGAGTTGGGCACAATGTCTTAATAACACTCGAAAACCATGATACAACTCTTGCACAACACAATTATGTACACACAAGTTGAATGCTGGGATTACAGAGACTCACCTCTGTCGCTCAGGCTCTGCATCTACATCCTCATCAGCACTGCAGGTGGCGCTTGAGTCATTATCTGAGTGGAGCTCTCCCTGTCTTTCACTTTGATTTTCTACCTTTTCCTTGATCTCAGGCTCTACTTTGACTTGAACCTCTCCAGCTTTCATGTCCACATCCTGAGGTTCAGTTTTGGGATGCACCGGAGCAGTGAAAGAAGCAACCCGGACTTTTTCCTCCTGTGACCCAGCCTCGCTCTCAGGGCTTTTCTCTTCTTTGACACGAAGGTCCTCAAATGAAGATTCAGACACCTTTGCATTGCTGGCTTGACCTTTGTCCTGGTCCGTGCACTGAGCATCATTCGCGGTGCTGTCTGGTATTTTGGAGTCGGATGATTTTGTAGAGTCAGCCTGAGAAGGAGAAGGGGCGCTCTCTGTGTCAGAGCTGTGGTCTCCACCTGAGGGAAAAAAAATCAGATGAATTAGTGCATGTTAAATAAAACAACTGGCTATGAAACAGAGAGGTACTGTATATTAAAAACTTTTAAGACCAAGTGTCAGTTATTAATAAAACAATAACAGTCATCATTTAGCTTAGAGAAAATTATATGTATCTAGCTGCGATGTCTTCTAATTAATCTTCATTTCAAGTTTGTCTCAACTAGATGAGAAAGGATGAAACTATTAGCCAACATGAAGTCCATGTCTCACTGCTGGTGGACTAGTTGGTAACTCAAAACTGAAAGAAAATGGGCTCATTTTTAGTTAGTCTCACTGAATTTAAAGTGTTTGCAACCAAGTGACCAGTGAGCCGTGGTGCTGCATTTTGACTGCCAATTTATTAAATTCACGATTTATTTTCATGTGAACAGCTCTGCCCCTTTAGCATTTATTCCATCACAGTACACTTTTAAAAATCAAGGTAGACAGACTTGAAGGACAAGACAGATTAAATAAAAGCATTATTTGTTATTTTTTGAGCATAGTTTTTTAAGACCTGGACATTCAGGTCTGTAGCTTTGGATGTTTACATGATGTCTGCATCAAATTTTTCTTTACTAAACAACAAATAATGCTGAAATGAGCTTGTCCTGAGCCTGGTTCTGCTGGAGGTTTCTTCCTCAAATTAGATAACCAATATCTTTTCTTGGTCACAGCTTCCTCAACAAGAGTTTGATTGGTCTCATTTGATGTTCTCTGTTGTGCTTTCGACATGATAATCAAAGATTACTGAAAAAATTCAAGAGATAAACGTATTTTATGTTTCACATATCATCTTGGGGGCCAAATAAGATGTCAACGAGGGCCACATTTGGCCCCTGGGCCTTGAGTTTGGCCAAATGCTGTAAAGTGTCCTGAGACAAATTTGTTGTGATATGTGGATATATAAATAAACTGAAATGAATTAATGTTTGGTCTCATTATGGCCAAAGCTTCAAATAAACATGGACAGGTTTTAAAAATAAACACTTTTTTTTAAATTCCACTCTTAAGTTCAATGTAAACTGTGAAATACACAATGTCAGACAAGACAGAAAGAAAACATCACCCATTACGTTTTAAAAACACTGATTTAGATATAAAAATTATATATAATTGACAGATAACTGTCTGATGTATGTGCTCTCTGCAGCTGTTGCCATGGTGATCAGACAGATGGTTTGCAGTATTTAAAACATATGGATTAAATGTTTAAAACCAAAATTTGAAATGACCTTTTACATGACATCATAACACAGGTAGGCAGAACACAAAGTTTGTTTTATATAACAACAAAAAAGGTTGAATCATGTCATCTGGACTTCGTTTT